AACAACAACTTTGTAGACAAGCTCAATTGCAGAGGCATTAGCATGTCAAATTACTGAGACGCATTTTTACCGCTGCAGTTTTATATTCAGTCAGCAGGATGAACTGAAGCCAAGGATGCATGTGCACGTGACCCGCTTTTCAGAGCACAAATGGAGGAAAAGTGTATGTATGCAGTTCTTAATGGTAGTAATTTCTGAAATGGCCCATAAGGTTGATTTAAGGCTCGCAGAGAGACAGATCAGCCAGAGTTTAAACAGCAGGATGCTTCATCAGGAATATATTGTGTGTGCTAGCTTTGAATAAGGAGCCAGGGCGGGGGCAGCGGGGCCGCTCTGAAAGTACTGTCCTCATGCAAGATGCGCTATCTAAACACAGCTAATCAGTTTAGGTGTAGACTGATTTCAGTCAGGGGCTCAGCTTTGTATAAACTGAAGGAGGAGTACGAGACGTTTGCATTACCCTGCGCTCTGAATGGTAAAAGAGAGGACAGAGGGGTTATAGGGTCCTTAAGAGAGATTCAATAAGGAATGGGCCTTGGTTTAAATTTCCTTCTTGTTTATAGCATCTGAGACCAGAAGAGGGTTTCATTAAATTAAGCCTCTCTTCCTCAATCTTCCTCTCACATATTCCCTCTTTCTCTGCCTCCACCCTCTCTACCATTTAGTTAAAGGGAAACCAGATGAATATTCCCATGGGAAGCCAGTGCATCACTAGCCCAAAGCACCACCACACATGTGCAGACACTCCCCCTCATAAAGAAGCCTAGCATTAATGTTGAAAATGTACCTCTGTTCTGTGATGTTGAAGCCAATATGCATTAGCAGAGAGAACTGCTAAACGCACATTTCACTGAGACAAAGCCACGTAGTTAAAATAACATGATTTGAAGCCATAAACTGGCTCTGACCACAACAAATCATTCGTAATGTAATGAGCTTGTTTGTTTGCGGGCTGTAAAAATACGACGACTGTCAAACTCAGTTAATTCCAGTCTTTAAGCAGGAAAGAGAAAGAAAAAAC